TACTAACTACTAACTACTAACTACTAACTGCTAACTGCTAACTATTAACTACTACTAACTACTAACTACTAACTACTAACTACTACTAACTACTAACTACTACTAACTACTACTATATAGATATATTATATATATATCACATATAGATTTGCCGCAGGAACTGGAAAAGATACACGTATTCCCAGGAAGGGGAGTTGCACCTATATATTATATAAAGGAAAATAACGTGACCCGATCCGCAAAATCAGGTACGGTATATCATTGTATCATGGTAGACTGACCAGTAGACCTGCAAACTGATCTGGTCCGAAGGTAAAGGGAGGAAGCCAAATGAAGCAAGCAAATCATGGTGGTCAAAAATTGTGGTCCTCACTGTGTAAACTGAAGTGGAACGGACGGAGTTTCCTGTGCTTGTTGGTTGGCTTGGCTGACCCGATGGAACAAAGCCATCCAGTGGTGTCCCAAGTAAGGCTCTAAGGATTCGTACAATAAGCCCCTGAGCAACGGAGAAGGACCTCATTGACAAGCCATCCTTATTGCTTGCCCTAATTCATTTGCCTCCGCACTGTCGAACTCGAAGCAGATATAGTACAGTATATAGACCCCCACATCGCTTCAAGCCAGGCGCACGGTCACCTCGTCACCACCTGAACGCCACCACCTGGTCACCTCGTCACGTCCAAGTCTCGCTCATCTTGTAGAGCAATCCGTTCATCTTCGTCCATCTCCTGCCGAAGACCCAACGCGCCGAGTCTTCAACCACCCACCGTTCATCCGCGGGACGTCGCTGCGAAGGGCTTCGCTAGTGGACACCGGTGACAAATCATCACGGCTTCGGTGGAGTGTCATGACACGGTCAAAGGCTTGAAAGCAACTCGCCTTGGTCTATTTACTATATATATATATATATGTTTTCCACTGTTTCAGGTGGCCAAATTAATTATACATGATCCCCTCTGCCTGAGCGCCTGGGCATGGGAAACACAAGAACTCACAATAAAATCTCTGCGCCCATCCTTGAGCATCGAGCCGATCTTTTCTTCCTTTTCCACTTCCTTTTTCAGTCGCTTGAACCTCGGCCAAACAAACATCGCAAAGAACTCTTCCCGAGGTCCAGCACGTCCCATGTATGGCTCTGCCCTCTGCTTGGTCGAAGAGAGGGTCTCTCTCTGAGGGCTCATCGTTGTTGTGGAATGTGAATTCGTATGTTAAGGGTAGAGAAAAGTTGCAAAAGACATCAATAGGACATCATTCAGTGGTTGCACCCATCTCTAGACATTTCGTAGACTCGTCTCCTATCCTTCTTAATAGCTGCACATGTGCAAGGAAATGGCTCTGCAGTCAAAGCAACTGCTTTTGCACCTCCTCCTTCGACATCATCTGCATCAGCTGGCTGAGGGATTCCTGAATACAGGAATTCATCAGCTCAATGAGATCTTTCCCTCGCACAAAAATCCTCTCTGCATTCGCCCCAAACTAGGGGGCCTAATCCTGGTTACAACCTCTGATTCTGTGATTCTTTTGGGGCTTGCAGTCCTGTCTATCCAAACCTTTTTTCTGTTCCTTTCGCAAATACTGGATCAGTTGATCCTCGGGCTAGAAGAGTGATTTGCTTTCAGAGCAGGCCCACCATATGAAACGTGGTCCCATCACCAGGCCCTAAGGGCTAAGGGGGTTCTATTGATAGCACCTTAGAGGTTAAGGGGTGTCCATTAACCACCCCTTGTGGGTGCAAAACAATCTATCAGATGTCCTATCCGCCCTATCCACACCATCCGAGTTTGATCGAATTCAGCCCTCCTTGCTGTCGAAGTTGGAGACTTTCAGCAAAGTCCAGAAGTCCGCTTGGGCCCCCTGATGGCGGCGCTCGCCCTACTGCGCTGTGGGGGGGGAAAGCTTCGGAAAACATGATCATCGATGAACTTTAGGATGCTTTAGGCTTAGACGCTTCAAAAAAAAATCCTTGATCATCAATGATAATCCTAAACAAAAGGCCTTTAAGGTTGTGAAACGATGGGTTTCGTTAGACGTTTTATGTTTGCTGTTGTTTTTCATCTAAAAGTCGGGATCCACCCTGTCACGAACAAACCCGTCCATCTCCGTCCACCTCGTGGGTCCTGGCCTCGAGGTCACCGGAAGACTTCCGAGCCAAAGCACGGCGGTAGAGGGCTTTCCTCAGCAGCAGGATGCAGTGAAGTCAGGGTCTGACCAGTCGTCACGGTCTGCGGTGGTCAGAAGGACATGGTTTTTCAGGCCCAACGGCTGCGGCCCGAGCACATCAGATGCCTACTTGGATTCGGTTTCCCCAAAAGAATTCAACCTAGTAGCACAACAACAAATGATTGTTTTGTGTCAGCCAAAAAGAAACAACCGTATTTGGGGCAACTCATCGTTTGCCTTGGAAGGCTTCACCACAGGTTGCTCAATTAAGAGACTGCTAGTGCGGACTCGTCTGGTTGAGCTTGCAATTTGCCACACCTTACCATGAAGCAGCTTGTGGCTAGCATATTCTGGTGCAGCGTCAACACGACCAAGCAGGTCAGCTGCAGGTCCGCTGCAGTATCGCAAGTATTCTTAAGTATGCCAGCATGACTGCAGCATGCAATGGTCCAGCTTAGGCAATACACAACTTGTACTCCCTGATTCATATAGCTCCAAAATGGAGGTATAACTCCAGCGGAGAAACGTTCCAATCTCAGCCCACAAGATCAGGTCTCTGATGGTGCGACTCCAACTCCAATGTTGCAGTCGCGTGTGCAATCGCCGCTGCACAGCTGTCACACCTCAGTGACCAATTCTTCATCTGAGGTATAGTGCATAGTATAGTGCCCAAATAAATACTCTTTGTCTCTCCCGAAGTGTTTCAATGATCGAGAAATCCATAGAGGGCCTTCCCCTTGCGAAGGGACATCAGCACTGATTTGTGTGTTTTGACCGAAGCCAGTGGGTCTGGTCAAGTTCAATGCTTTCTCTCATGAGGAAAGCCTTCTGGCGCACTGAAACAATCTGGTAACTCCCAATTGATCATATTATTTTTCGATGGGATGCTCCATCTGAACAATACCTCAAGTGCCGTATCCTTACGTTTCACACTTCGAAAAACCAGGCGATCTTGGACATAGCACATCAGTTCTTAGACCAGGTCAGGAACCACATATCCTTACAACTTTGATCAACTGTCCATTTCCCAGAGCTGAGCACCATATTTGGAAAAAAAGATCAGGAACTTTCTAGTAAGTATGAATTCCTGAATTCCGGAGGAAACAGCACCACCATGTTTGGAAAACAGGAACTTCTTCCTCCGGATCTGTTTCCTGAATTCCTTCCCCCAACACGCTCGGCTCCGCTCTCAAGCCGTCCTCCAACGCTCTCCGACTCCAAAGCACCGGAGGGCGGCCTGCGCGGCGTTCAGCAGCAGCGCCAAACGACAGGAGCGCTCTTCGTCTTCGTCGGAGCGAAACTCACCTCGGGCGGGACGACCGGCGTTGTGGGCGGAGCGGAGGCGCGGTTTTTGCTGGAAGAAGTCCGGACAAACTCTTCGGGTATAGAAGGAAAAACCGGCATTTCCTCCAACTGTTCACGTTGGTTTTGTGCCAAAACCACATGTGTGCTGTTCTTTTACAACTAACCACCAGTCTAAGCATACGCTTAACACAGGGATTGGGGCACATGAACTCACCCATTCTGGTTCTACAGGAAATGAAACACTATGGCCCATGGCTTTCAACAGAGACCTTTCTAACAATGCCGGGCACACTTGCTCGCAATCGCCAGCGTTCTTTTTTGCCCTGTCGCTACTCAGCAATATCCGGTGTCCGATCCAGAGCTACCCGAGCTGCAACTGCTAGTGGTGCGTGGGCGCGAGAAAACTTGCATCTCGCGGGACTTGGTCTTGGATGTCAGAGGCTCATACTTGTTCTCACTGTGGTTACGGTATCGTGACCAAAGAAGCATGGTTGACTTTGCAGCGCCAAGCACTGACAATGCAGCGGAGTAGATCATAAACTCATGGATCTCAGTGTGGAAGGCGCCTCCCAGAAGACAGGATAAAAGCACCAAGACGCACTGAAACGAATCCTCTAGGACAAGTGATGCCAACAAGCAATTCTCGTAAGAGAGGGCCCCGGTTGTCACAGCACAAACAGCTGCGCAGGAATTCACGGTTGTGATGGCCCACAAAGCAGAAAACCAGGCTGGATAGCTCATGCAATAGCCCAACAATGCAGCCACATCTGTGAACACATCAATGACTTGAAACCCGGTCCAAGAATTGGCAACAGTTGTTTGAAGTAACAAAAGCGATGTCGGAGTTGTCCCATCTTGCCAACCCTTCCAGTTGATTGTGAGTTCAGAAACAGCGTAAAGCATGTACAAGAGGTAGAAAGGAGTCGCAGAGAAGGTGAAGCCGACGTCATGAAAGCAAATCAGGATTGCTCTGTCCATGTGCTGCCAGTGTTTTTGTTCAAAGACCGGCATCAAGACCAGTGCAAGCACTCCATTGAAAATAAACCAAAGCAAGTCAATAAGAGCAATAACCAGTGTCCACAGCATCATGCCAACAAAAGCAACTGTCGCCAGGGGGCATCTCGCTAACCACGAGAAACACCACGGCCAACACCAACACACCGAGAATGGAAGTGGAATTGGGTTCCCAAAAGCCCATCCCCACCCACATTGAAGGGTGCACAAATCTGTTGCTGAGCACATGAACCTCGGAAGGCAAGCATACCACGCCATCCCGAGAGGGAAAAGCAGCAAAGACTTCCCAAAGAGATTCAATGGAGTGCTCTTTGGTCCCAACATTTGGCGCTCGCGACAGGTTGTTGGTGCATCAGCAGCAGAATCCTTAAGCGAACTCCAGGTCAGATTGTTCATGCCACTCTGTGGTGGTTCCATTTGCCACTGCGATTGCGGTGCCGAGCTGCATGGATACAAAGGCCAATCGACTGTCAAAGCTCCTGCATCCGTTGACAAGCATGTCTGGCTCCACACAGACAACTCATTCATGCAAGAGAGGGCTGCAACAGGAGGAGATTGTGAAGAGCTCTGGAATGTCATTATGACTTTGCTCACAGGTCTGACTCTCAAGTCAACTGTTACTTGATGAGGAAGCAGCGACATATCCTGTGTGGGCTGCACCAATGTTAGGACTTCGTGCTTCAAAGGCTTGCCGTCATACGCAAAGCCATGCAGGTGCTTCCCCGAAAACGAATTGATCCGGTACCAGTCCACCCACAAGGTCCCTGGTGAATGGATGTAACCATGCCACTCAGAATCGTGCTCATTTGTTGTCCACCATGACATACTGAACATTCCACCAGGCTGCGAGTCATCACGAACCGTCTGCACCCCGCTCTTTCCCGGATCAGCATCATATTTTGTGTACGTTTCATGTTGCGAACACTCATCCCAAACAACTGATGTGGAAAGCACCCATGCAGGATGCTCAAAGCTCGACAACAGGACCTTACCGTGTTCTCCAGGCACTCGGTAAATCGTAAACCTTGCTGCCATCTCCGCTTTGGAAGTGATCTCTGCCGAGCTGTTGGGCGAAATGGCCAAATACGACGAGTTCGCAGAGCGGAACTTGACGCCTTGTGCAAGCATGTTGGCCTTCCACTCATCCACATGATGGCAAATTCCATCACTTCCTGCACAACTTTGTCCAGCGCAAAGGCACCTTCCTTGATAGCATGTGACATTGCCACGCCATCCGAAACAAGGCATCAAATGGCAAGTGCCACCAGTGTTCTTGAAGCACGGCAAGCTTGGTGGTGTGTCTTCAAGCCATGCTGGCTTGAAGTAGTGAAATCCACTTTCATAATAATAGTGCCAGAAACAAAAGCCCACCAGCCCAATCCAAATGACAGCAGTGGCAGCAAAAGCAACCTTTGCAGCCCCACTGCCATCTCCGCACGTCAACATCAACTTGGCGAAGTCACCCTATGGCCCCTATGCAATTCTGTGAGAGTCTGCAGTATCCTTGGAGCGAGAGCTACCTAGCCTTGGTGACTATTAACTATCCGGCCATGGTCGTGATATGTCATGATTCCCAGTGCGCCAAGAGGATGCACCTGATAGACTTCTGTTTGGCAGCCACACGAGCGCCTTGAGTGAGACGTGTCACGCGTGCGTTTTGGGTCATTCGGCGAAGGCGCAGAAGAACAGACTTGCTCATCCTTTGACAGCGAGTTGTGGTAAACATGAGTCCTAAATGTGCTCTGCTTGCAAAATGCCAAGATGCTGCTACACAGCAGAAGTTGCTGTCAGACTCCTGCTGTCAGTACGGCCTGTTTGCGCATTCCACTTGTGTTGCGGAATGTCTCATATATTTGGAACCTACAAGTCTCATCGTCTGTCAGTTGCTGCTTACAGTCAGTTTCAATGCACATGAAAGGATTCGCAACACGAATAGATCGTGTGGATCGCCCACTATGTGGTGTAGCTTCCTCTTGACGTTCCTTACATGCATGAAGTGGTTGAATAAGTTCTGCTTTCCTTGGTTTGTCTGCTTCCATGCTTTCCGGGAGCACAATCGCAAGAAGTTTGCAACAGCGTACTCCGGCTGCTGGTTCTTTTGCAGAGCTTGCAAGAGGTTTCTTCGGTCGCATGTATGATAGAATGGAATGTCTTGCTCCCTAGAGTCACTAGAGGAAGATGTCTCACTTTTAAAAGAAACAAGAAAACAACAACAACAACAACAACAACAACAACAACAACAACAACAACAAC